GCTTATCTTTCACAATTTGCCACTTCAAACAACTTTTCTATGTCCTTCCTGAATTTATGGGTATTTTGGAAAAAACACATACCGGTAAATATAACAATTATATTGTTAAAGCACAATATTTAAGACTTCTAAGCATAGTTACTATAGTAAAATGAGAAAAAATAGTATAATATTAAACTAAAAATAACGGACAATTTTTTTCTCATTTTAATATCATTATTATTATTATAATTTGTTTATTTGTGTTATCATTATTATCTTATTTATTATCTAAATAAATAGAGGATATTCAAGATTTTTCTATAAATATATGATTTATTTTCATCGAGTGGTATGAAAATAAATATTTCATGAGTGGCGGTAGCCACGAGTGAAATATGGTAATTTTCATGCTACAAGATGAAAATAAATCATGTATTTATAGAAAAAACTTGAATTTTCTGTTAATTATATGCATTTTTCTCTTTTTGACATTAAAATTTGAAAGACTTTCCCTTAAATTTTGTGTACTGGCAGAATTTAAAAGAAAGTAGTCCGGCAAGACACCAGTGAAATTACGGAAAATATGTTTCACTGCTGTGAAAAATAGATTTTTATAGTTAAAATACGGAAAATGAAAATACGCATTTTATTACATCAATATTTTTCAATATTTCATTTGTAAGTATATAATAAATATTATATATTTGCGCTAGTTTTTTTCCTAAAAAAGGTGATAATTAATGTAAATAATGATTACACTTTAGGTAAATGGATAAGTATTTTGTATAAACAGATAGCTGATTGACAATAATATGTTATTACTAGCTTGAACAATATGATATCAATATCAGTTTTTGATAGCTTTTAAATATTTTTTCTAATATTTGTTTTATTTACTACAAATTCTCACTGTAACAATATGATGCATGATGGAAAATGTTAAATAAAGTAACGAATTGTCACCAAAATAAAACAAATGCTTGCCTTATATTATTACCCTCAATTTTGTCATTGATCATACCATCTTTATTAAAACGGGGATAAACCATATATCAAAAATGTTTTCATCTACATAAATAACAAAGAACATACTAACGCATGAGGAATGCAATGAAAAAAGCAGCATGTATTGAACAGAATTATACCATATGCGAACACCCATACTGATTTCGGAGAATGAACTGCATTACTGACAGTATTACTTACCCATTTCAAAAAGTATAAGAAATATAACATACATGTATTCTTCTATGTATACGTATATGTGTTCATCAAATAACTCCGAACAACGATTTCCAACATTATCCTTAGAAAATAAACCCATATGAAAAGATAGAGGAAAACGGACAGGTACAATGCGTTTGAGGTTTAAAAGATAGGGGAATTATTCCCCTAACTCAATTCTCTCTTTCTGCATGTAAATTTGTTGCTGAAAAAGTGCATAGAGGTAGACCCCCGGAAAAAGGACATCTGGAATTTCCTTTTTTATTCTGGAACGCATTATTCGCTTTCGCGTACCTCATTTTTGAAGAGTACATAATGGGAGGTAACTCTTTGCACTCAGTAGTTTTTTGTTTCATTAAAATATACATGTAAATAAATATATGTAGCTATCATAGAATTTAAATAAAACATATGAATATCCATACTACGTCAAACCGTGTACATTTTAAATTTGTTTTTTTTTCAAAAGTCATGCAGTGTATTTCTCACGATCACCGAATTACACTCCCGCAAAAAATTAGCCGCTTCCTTTGTGCTACTCACTTAATGAAATTGTTTTGTTATAAGATTTCGTCACCTGAAGGACGAATTAGCCCGGAGCGCTGACAAAACAAGACTGACACATTTAGTCGCTAATTGCTCAATAATTTCTTCCTTAGTTGACCTTTGTGTTTGGTCACCATTGTTTATCTCAAGGTGTCAAACGAATACAGACCAAGTGCCAATACGTGACCTCGTTAAATTATGAAAATTACGCATGGGATGTCGAAAATATGTACGTTGTAACCGATATCTCGCTAAAACCGATCTTGCTAGAAACGATATAAAATGAAAAGAAAATAGAAGGAAAAGGGGTTACCTACCTTATCATCTACTGTTGCTGCTATTGGCATTACATCAAAACAGTCATTGATTGCCTCCCTTAGTTGGCTACCTATACTGTCACAAAACTTAGACAGGCACTCGCTGAATAACAACAGATAACATAATTTGCATTACAGTATTTCACTTGCAAAACAAGTGACACAACATTGTCACAAAATAATGGTTTTCTGTCAATGAAAACAATAACAACAACAATTAAACAACAACACAGGGCCATTGCTCCAAGATGTTTCATGTAAAAAATATAGGCCCTTGGGCTTCCAGATACATGTTCAGCAAGCTTAATATGATTATTTTTCGGCATTGGGCCACAAACTCATAATCGGTCACATAACACTCATAATCAGTTGAAATGGCTTGCAATCATGTTACTACACATAACAAGAGTATTGAAACATCTTACGTTTTGAACGAGAACATTTCTTGTACACTCCGTAACTCATGGTTACCCCTCAACAGGTGAAATTTGTGAGGGGCTAAAATCTTCTGTGCAAACAAATATGAAATGACCTGGGAAATAAAAATAACATATAATTATAAATGTTGATCTTTCATGAAGGCATCGTGTTATTGGCTCATTCAAATCATTATTCTTGAAAAATTTATCTTATATTGCAATAAATAGATATAGAGAGTTCTACTTATAGTATCTTTAAAGCAAACTTTATCAATCACTGCAAATCATTTATACTAATAGTTGAGGTTTTAAGAATTGGCTATCTAAGTGAAGTTTAATAAACATAAGTGCCGGTTTTAAGATCTTTCAATCAATCTTTAAGTTCATTTACCTTGATAACTTCAACACAACCTAACTTTAATTTGTTTTCAAATCATAATTGAATGAATATCCTTAGAGAAACATAAAATCATATGACATTAAACAAAAATCAAGTACGCATGTACCTCAATTCCAAAGTCACCTCTGTCAACATAATCTCGAAGGAACAAGAAGGAAGCTGGTGTTAATAAAGGTCCTAATCTCCATAAAGCTTTCTCAAAACATATCAAATCTCTATAGTTCCCATGAATATCTCCTAAAATACCAAGAAAAAATACATGAGAAAATACCACAAATTCACTTTTTCTTTTGTCTCATTTATTTCGAGTTTTCTTTTGATTTCAACAATTTTTGGATTTTCCCCTTAACTGGCTTTCCTGCATAATAACCATGTACAAACTTCTGTGAAAGTGACAACTACTTATCCCACATGATTATTTAATCAGTAGTGGGCAACAAATGACCATTAATCTAAATATCCGCGAGAAAATTGCCCTCGAAAGGATCAAACCAGCAACCCCTCCATTAAAATGCTCTCCCTTTTTTGGTAAAGCCTCAGAACAGGATTGAACCAGAATCTTCTGCATTATAAATCTAAAGCTCTTTCTATTGAGCTATAGTGTCGGCTAAAATATTTTACAATGATAAATTCAGAATGTTTACAGAAATCAATGTCAATGAGTTCAAATACAAAATACTACAAGAGGATCATGATGTCCCTGAGTCGCTCACCAGAAACAACTGCTTTTCAGTGTTGGAAATTATCCATTGTCAATACAGTCAACTATCGTTATCTCGGCATCGCTTTTCTCAATATTTCGTTATCTCGATGAAATTTTGAAAGTCCCGATTTTCTTCCTTCTTTATCTATATTGGAAATATTTGTTTATCTCGATATTTTTATTTCGATAGTTTCAGTATCTCGATGTAAAATTTCAGCCCCAACAGTTATTTTCACACTTTTATCCTTTGTTTATCTGGACTAATAGTTTTCTTTCGTCTGTTCCATTCAGGCGTGTGAAAAACACAAACTAGACGATAATTACTCAATAGCGTGTGTCATAATGATGATTATGTTTGTAACAGGTTTAGCTGTTTTTATAAAAGTTAATCTATTTAGCGTTTTCATTGACTTATGTCCAAAATGAGTGAATTTTACGTTCTTCATAGATATTCGAAGACTGTATCTATCTATTCATTATGACTTTAAATGTAAATGAAATAGTGAAAGTATAGAAACGCTATCGTTGCAATATTGTTTCACAACATCACCACCAAAATCAGTCAGCAGTCGAACAATCTCGAGAAAGACCCGATAAGTAACCCGGGAGGATATCCGGATCAACCACCCTGAAAACAATGTTTTCACTATATTGGTGTATTACTGAGTAAACCTCACTTTGTGTTTTTATCCCAGACACCCGTATTTCCGCTGGTAAACATCAACTAATATTACTTTAATTTGTTAAATGACTAGGCCTAGGAAAACAAGACATTGGGATATCATAGTTTATTCGACATAAGGTATGCACATGTCTTTTGCAAAAATCAGTCTCTGCCTTATTCAAACCCTAATATGTTTATTTCGACATTTTGTTATCTCGATATTTTTTGGACAGTCCCGATGACTTCGAGATAACAAGAGTCGACTGTATTTTCTTATAGTAAATTTGAGCATAGAATATCTTTAAACAAAAATTTGAAGAAATGTCATGACCTGGGGCATTTAAGCTTTAGCTTAAACTAGGCCAATCAAATTACCGGTAATATGAGCAAACTTGATTAAAGACTACCTACGATTAGTAAAAATTCTACAGACAAAGTTTGTTGATCATTTAGTAGGACATGATGTTCAAGGTTTTTCTATTTTTACCTTTAGTGGCCCCTAAAAGGGGCCAATCAAATATATATGAGTACACTTAATAAAAAACTACCTAAGAATGCTACAAATAAAAGTTGGTGTTCATCCATCAATAAAGTCTGTAGAAGCAGACGTTTAAAGGTATTTCTATTTTTAGTTTTAGCGGCCCCTAAACAGGGCCAATCAAATTAATATGAGCAAACTTGATAAAAGACTACCCAAAAATGCTACAGACACAATTTGGTGATCATCCATCCATAAGTTCTGTAGAAGAAGTTGTCTAAAGGTTTTTTTATTTTTAGCTCTAGAGACCCCTAAAAGGGGCCAATCAAATTAATATGAGTAAACTTGATTAAAGACTTCCTAAGAATGCTGCAGACAAAGTTTGGTGATCATCCATCTATTAGTTCTGTAGAAAAAGACATTTAAAGGTATTTCTTTTTTTAGCTTAAGCGGCCTCTAAAAGGAGCCAATCAAATTTATATGAGCAAATTTGATAAAAGACTACCTAAGAATGCTACAGAAAAAGTTTGGTGATCATCCATCAGTTAGTTCTGTAGTAGAAGATGTTTATAGGTTTTTCTATTTTTAGCTCTAGAGACCCCTAAAAGGGGCCAATCAAATTAATATGAGCACACTTGATGCAAGACTACGGACTGACGGATGACGGACGCCGGATCATCCCCCTATAGCTACCTTCGGTTCTTGTGAGCTAAAAATTGAATGACCATTGCATAGAAGGCAAACTATGCCAGGTTTATCATCCTCATATCTCCTAACTCATGAAATTATCTTTCCATAGTTTTAGTTTGAAACACTTGATAACTGGGTGAATATACTTATCAATTACTGCAATCTCCATTTAAAGCGGCACGCCTCCAGATTCATGCTAATTTTCATGAAAATTTTGAAAATATGTTTCATAGTTTTATTCAGTGAAATAACCAAAAGGAAGCAATTTACACAAAATCTATGGCACTTACAACCCACGTAAATTTACTAAAAAGAGGACAAAATATGCAAAAATGGCCCTTACTGTGTTAGCAATGCAGTAGAAATATAGTTATAAATACTGTAAAATCGGCCATTAATCGCACATAACATGTGAATTATTACTAGAACTTTGAATCTTTACACTTTTCCTTAAATCTTAGTACATTTTTCTCAGGTTTGGTTTTATTGAAATTCGCTCATCTGGAGGCGTGCATATTTAAATGAGTAAAACATTTAATAATTATATAAAATCTCAAGTTACAATTGAACAATTTTATATACATAATCACCTAAGATATACATTGGAGCTTTTAATTTGAGCAATCTTGGTTCATCTGAGAGAATGTCCTTGACCTGTCTACACAATGTTAACAAACATTTAGCAAGGGCATTCTTGTCTACCTGTCCCCAGTCAAATGCATTCTGAAAATGAATAGAAACTGTATGTTACATTTATATCAAATATCAATATTCATGCATTTATAATATAAAATTACTTTAAAATTCTTAGCAACTCCCATGTGAAACAGAATCCATTTAAAATTATGAAAATTATAAAATTTAAATTACATTTTAACTGTTATTAGCCTAAAGGCTTTGAAAGGTAGTAGCTATCATATCATGACTTTCCGGCTTTACAAAACAAATGTGCACCTTAGTAGCCCCACAAATGTTCTGGAGCGTATCATAATATGACGGGATAACAGTGATGGTACGAAAACATTCGCAGTTCTTAAAACTTACATTTATCGATTAATTAAAACATGATAATTTTAGATCGAACATGACATGAATGCCTGAAGTTTATTTGAAAGACTTTTATAATAGCCATTATCTCTCTTTATTGACCTCTCTTTCTGGATTTAGCAGTACTTGTCAGGTATAAAGGAAATATGATTATGCCCCAACCCCCAGTCTAAAACCCATCATTCTTTAACTTACAATTATAGGCCAATAATATATACGCTATAACTAGGTGTACATTAAACAATTAGTACCTTTGTGAAAGATCCATTATCTCCCTTTATTGACCTCTCAAAGTATTTAAGACCAGTTAACATTTTATAAGGATGAGATCGTTGATTGAAAGAATCAATAGACGACATCCGTTGAAATCATGATATATCTCCTAAATGTGTAAGTTACGTGTTTGTAATAGCCCCATTGCCTGATTACATGAATAATTTATCAATCTTTTCTATATTTTATATGTATATAGTGAATTATACTTTTAAATGACCTTTTATAACATTAACAGGTAGATTCCTAGCAAAGAAAAAAATTATCCAAGATATTTTGAGAATCAAATGAAGGGTAAGTGATTCCATTCATACAGCAAAACTCAGTGAAACAGAACACTCCCATTGTGATTTAATAAAATGCAAAAATAGCAATTTTAAAGAAAACCATTCACAATGTCATTCCCATATTGCCATCACTTCATGCAATGCCCTAGTTTTGCGTACCATGACAATATGTGTTGCCAAATCGTACCTGTGTTGTTTATGGGCCGCTGTAAAAGGATTACCCTCTGGAGGTTTAAATCCATCATTATTTGGCCCTGGACTTTTTAGTGTAAAGAACTGATATAAATATTTGTTTAACCTCTAGCCATAACTATGCTATTATCATGATCTTGTAATTTACATAACAAATCTTTTTTAGGGGGCGTGGACGGTAACTTGCACTTTCCAGTACCGTCCATGAACAGGCTCAATCAAACCGAGCCTGCAACATTTTCAATTTTGCCATGTTGGGCTTTCTTTAAGGATTCTGTATTTATCTATTTTAAAATATAAGACACACGCGACTTTGATATACAAATACTCAGACCAAGCAGCCAATAACATAAAAAATAATGACATTAAATGGAAAAATATAATTGGCAAGCATTGATAGAGAAAGAAATTTCAACTAATAAAATATTAAAATACATCTTATTGGTCATTTAATGAAACTATATCTGAATACAAAAAGATAATTCTTAAAGTTTTTTTTTACCAATATCAGTATACATATTTTTCTGCTTTTACATAAGAACAACATCAATTTAAGTATTGCTTCAAAAATAAAGCATGATAGATTGAATAGAGGTTCAGTACCACAAACTTAAAGATTTATAAACAATTTTTAGCATTTATGACTTTCTTTAGGTTACACAACTAAAAATATGACATTGGTAGCAAAAATTTAATCTAAATCTAATTAAGTCTTACTCGAACTTTCAAAAGAATGAAAAGAACTTTCGAAAGAATGAAAAAAGACCAAACAAAACAACAAACAAGCAAAACAAACAAACAAAAATCATGCATTTCCAAGCTTTTTGTTTGGTTCAATTGGATCAGATATTTTGGACGGGATCTCTATTACGGTAGTTCCATGTCACTATCAGGAGTATTGTCATCTGTTTCTGAACTGCATATACGTAATTATATCATAGTCAAATCCAAATACTGTTGCTGAACATAACATTATAATTGACGGTGTAAAACAACGTGTGATCCTCTATGAATCACTTTCAGCAAAAGTAGAACCAAAGAAAAGACACTAACTAGATATCTTTCTCACATGTACTAAAATGTATCTATAGGACACCAGCGCCCCGACACTTCATTGTTTTGTCATTCTCCTGACTCTTGCATATAGAGTCAGACCAGCTGGCATATCTATCCGATCTTACCAAACTGTATATTGTTGTCTTCCAAACTTTAAATTTTCATCTTGATATCCCCAAAATTAATAATGGTAATTTCCAACGATAAAATGTAGAAGTGTCCATTTTAAGAAATTTAACAAGTTAAAGGCTAATCAAAACATATAATTCTTTCATAAACAAGTCTTTGTTAACTACATAAACGCTAGGGGAGGGCAACATTGACCCCAGAGGTGCATAATTTATTGACGTTTTGAAGAGGACTAAGCGGTTCTACAAGCCAAATACCTAAGCTTTGGACAGTGAAATTTCTGAGAAGGCGATTCTTCAACATTTTATAAGTACAAATTTCTATTTAGCCACAGATATTTTCAAATTTATTGAAACTTTTTTAATATTCAGAAAGATAAATATCTTTGTTTATATTTATAATTAAAACTAAAATGTCTATATTTGGAGCTTTTACTTTAAATGACTAACAATTCAGCATATCATTCAAACATTAAATGTAAACATTCATGTAAATATTGTCAACAACCCATTTCATAAAAAAAAAATACTGATTATTCTGAATAACCCTATTAAGTTTCACTGATAACACAATGATGGCCGTTCAACGTAATTTGTCATCCTACTTTCTGAAGAAATTTGCTCACTTACCAAATTTACGTAAATATAGATAAACCCAAATTGATTTAAAATGTCATTTAAATACAGCTTTACCTTTAGCACACAAGGGTATAGTCTATCTTTTGATTGGTGGTTTTAAACTTACGTCTCACAGTCTATTTGGTAGTTTAAATATACATGGAATTTCCCAACACTATTACCGAAATACTGATATGATAATATCCAGGGTATTTTATTTATCAAACCGACAAGGACAATAACGTTGCTTAAATCTTTAGTCATCTTTACGTATCAACCATTATATTTTATTAGACTTTTTTCTACAAAACAACTTTTAAAGTAAGTTTATTTTATTTTTAATTGATTTCATCTTTTTTGTTTGGTTATATTTAATTAGGTTTATAGATATCTTTCATATATTTACAGATAAACATTAAAGTAAAATAGCTACCGTATCTCACATATTTTTTCATTGCCTTTACCCTACTGTTGAATTAATAGAATTGCTCTGATGAAAATTCTTATATGGAACCCAGGTCATAATGGATTTTTACAGCGACATTAATCCTGTTGGTGCCAGAGTGATAAACCGTCAGTAAAAAGCAAAACCAGCCTTCTGCCGACGGCTTAATTCAAATTTCACTTTAATATTCCTCCATTAAATTTAAAGAGATCTATAAAAGAGAAGTTGAGTTAGTAACGCAGTATAAATATGGCGATAAATACTGCACAATCAGTTATTAATCGCGTGCAACATGTTGATTTAACTTGAGTCTTTTTTCACATTTCTTAAACTTGTTATACGTTTTTCTCAGTTTGACTTTCTTTAAGTATTTTGGCTCATGTGAAGGCATATAGAGTAGAGTAGAGTAAAATTCAACATTTCAATCACGTATGTGTTTAAATGTACAAAATACATTACTCTCTGACACTACAATCCATACTGAACGATTCATTACGAATATTTGTAGTCTTACCGTCAGTTTATTTTTAGAACATACTGGGGACCCTAGTATTGCACCACAATGGAAAATCATCAAAGATAGGGAAAACTAACAAAACACAGGGAAACCAATCATGACATAAAAATAAATGCAACACAATAAAATGTAGTTCTCTTGTATGAATTACAAATATACCGTAAAAACATGCCTCTGCATCGAGTCAAACATCTGTAAGCAAGACATTAAGAGACTTCAGAAAATATCTTTCTTAGTAATTTAATCTTAAGCTGGAAGAAACATTGAAGAAGAAACGTTAGTTCCTTACCATGTCACTTCAGGTAAGTGGGTTCCTTCTTTATTCATATAAAGTAATGTCTTCAGGTCGGTGAAGGAAGTTATTGTTTGGCATATGTGTAATTCGTACAAGAGAATGACCATATATTTGGTATTTTGACGGCATATGTGTATATAAATGTTGAAGTTTAACTCGGTGCAGGTACCCTATTACAGCATATGTGAAATTTATACAAGAGAACTACATTTTATTGTGTGTATTTATTGTTCTGCAATGAGTGGTTTCCCTGATTTTTGTTGGTTTGCCCTATCTTTTGTTGATTTCTCATTGTTGTGCAAAACTAGGGTTCCCAATATGTTCTAAAAATAAACTTGCGGTCCGCCTACACATATCTTTAATGAATCATTCAGTATGGATTATAGCATAAAGGAGAGAACATGTGGTAAGTGAATATGTTTTATGAGGTAAGTTGATTCAACACGGTTTCACATTTTATTCTTGTTGATGGAAAAAACGAAGTTTTGTGTACATTTAAACACGTTGAACGTTGACTTGTACTCTAAACATTTGTGTCGTTAAAACTTCCCTCTTTTTACTACGGAAGTTAAAGCTATTGGAGGTTTACCTGGACGTCTACTGTTTTCAGCTTGACTGTACATGTCAGGTAGTAAAGTAGAAAATAAGCCAAAGTTTACTTATATTTCAATTTACACAGGTTATAAACTATGTACGTATTAACCAGAGGGAAGTTGTTTAGTGTAGAGTAAAATTCAACATTTCAATCACGTATGTGTTTAAATGTACAAAATACATTTCTCCCTGATGCTACAATCCGTACTGAACGATTCATTAAGAATATCTGTAGTCTTACCGTTAGTTTATTTTTTGAACATACTGGGGACCCTAGTATTTCACCACAATGGAAAATCAACCAATCATGACATAACAATAAATGCAACACAATAAAATGTATGAATTACACATATACAGTAAAAAACACGTCCCTGCATCGAGTCAAACATTAACATTTATTGGAGAGGTCATCAGACCTCTCCACAGTGTTGAGAATGATTGCTGGCGGCATCCATTTTTGCGTATCAAATTGAAGCTAATGCATCGCATTTTAAGCCATAAAACATTAGAATCAGTCTACAAAAATTGTTATGCGCATGCTCCGCCTCAAAATACGACTTAACTTAAACGAAAAATAAACATCGAAGTGAACAATTCGGTACAAGAAAAAATCGGAAAATATCATTTACGTTACTTAACACTACGAGCAATGGTTCATTCCGTTTTTAGTCCTTTAAACTGTATAAATCGATAAAAAAATGGAAAAAAATATTAAAAAAATCAATGTGACCAACAGAAATGTCCATAAATATCATTCAGAATGTATAGGCACTGTTAAATTTTTTATAAAGAGTGGGACGTACGGTAATAATAAAAATAGTTTTCATATTGTATCATACACATTTTTCATAATAAATTATTATTCCGTCACAATTATTGTAGCCTAAATTTTAGAAACAGTACTAATTCAACTCAGCTTAACAGCGAAAACGTAACTGAAGTTAACTGAGTACACAATAATTGTTGTATGTGGCATCTGACATCACCGTATGTTGTCCAAAACAATTGTGCACACTTGCTAAAATTAAGTAAATATAAATGTACCCAAAGTAATCTATCAGGTCATTAAAATGCATGCATCAGTCATGGGCAAAAACCTTCTGATTTTGGGTAGTATAAATAGACTTAGAATTTCCCATTTTTTTCCAGACAATATTAAGTCTTATTAAGACTTAAAGGTGTATGATAAGGGACATATATAGACATAATAGCATAATGAAAACCACATAAAAGAATTTATCTAAACTATACATGGTCTTAAAATGATAACAAAACATTTTAAGCAAAATTAATGGGCGGTTATTAACTTCATTTTCAAGTTATCTGTCCCTGAATTTGATTATTTTGTCAATTTATGCCATTTCAAGGTTTGATAACTTATAGATAACTTTTTAAAAACTTTATTATTATTATTGGTTAAATTATTTCATTTTATGATTTGTCACTATACAAAGCTTCTTTGCATGCCAGTAAAATGTGTTCCCTTCATCTAGTTTAATTATGTAGACTGAAAGGTCTGAAAAGGTCAGCTAATTTTTAATGATATTAAGAAAGGAAGAAAAAGGTAACAAACTATGTGTTACTAATTCTAAAATTTCCAACAATTACTCAATAATAAGAAGTCAGTTACGTGAAAAGAATAAACAAAAGGGCCCTTCTATTGCTCACTTAATTATTATTGAGACTCTGAATTAATATTGTTAGCAATGAATGAAAGGCAGATATAATGCCAGATATAAATTAAACTGATATCATAACATTCATATATGCACCTGAAACAGTGCAAATGCAAATTGTAATAAGTTTTTTCCATATACGACTTTTCATGTGTTGTGACCTTTTTTTTTTTACCTCAGGTGACCTGAACAAGAAATCATCCAAACAACCTTTACGACCAATTTCCAGGATATTTGGGCTGAAACAGTAGTCCGTAGAGTGTTTTACCATATTTGGAAACCTATTATCCCCGGGGTGGAACCAACTTTGACACTAGAGGTAAATTTTAAAGATCTTTGTTAGAGGAAATATCGATAATATTATTAACCAAATATCAAAGCTCTAAGCCTTGTATCTTCAGAAAAGAAGATTATTTTTATGTTTTTGCTAAATGTACATAATGAAAATCAATGACCCCGGGGCTGGCCCGATTTTGACCCCAGGAATATAATTTGAACAATCTTCAGAAAATTTGGACTGAAAAAATAGACCCAAGAGTGTTAACAAGGTTGTTCCAAAATTGGGTTTGACCTGGTGTTTGACCCCAGCTGACCGATATTCGAACTTAATCACCGAATCAAGCTTTCTGATCAATTTCCAGGATATTTGGATAAAAATAGCTTCTTAAGTGTAAACAAGGTTTTTCCATATTTTGGCTGTTTGACCAAGGTTTTGACCCCATGTGACCTATATTTAAACTTGACCTAGAAATTATCAAAACAACCTTCCTGACCAATTACCAAGATATTTGAATAAAAACAATAGCCTCTAGAGCGATAAGTAGGTTTATCCATAATTTGGCTGTATGACTTAGTTTTTGACACAACGTGACCCATATTAAACTTGGCATTGAAAGCATCATAATAATCTTTCTTTCAATTTCAGGCAATTTGGACTTAAACAATAGTCCTAAGCGTGTTTACAAGGTTTTTCTATATTTGAACTGTGTGACCTACTTTTTGACCAAGGTAACTCATATTCGAACTTGACCTTGAAATCATTAAATCAACCTTTCGAACCGATATCCAAAACATGTGGACCAAATTAAAATAGTAGCCTCAGGAGTTTTTTTTAACTAAGGCAGTGTGACATAGTTTTTGACCCCAGATGACCTTTATTCAAATTGGATCTAGAAAACACCAAATGATTATTTCGACCGATTTCCAGGATATTTGGAACAAAACAGCAAAATCTTAGGCTTTTCGATATTTTGGCTGTGTCCTAGTTTTTGAAAAAAAATAGAGAAATACAGAACCCCTAAAGAAAGCCCAACACGACCAAATTTAAAATGTTTCAGGCTCGGTTTGATTGAGCCTGTTCATGGACGGTACTGTTACCTGTGTTCTAAGTTGACCTAGAAATCATGAAAACAACATTCCTGACCAATTTCCAGGTTACTTGGATCAAAACAGTAGCCACTAGAGTGTAAACAAGGTTTTTCTTCTTTTTTTGATCCTGTGACATTATCCATATTGTATTGGAACTTGATCTTTAATTAGTTGAGAAATATATTCTGACAAAGTGTGATTGTGATCCAACAAAAATTGTGACTGCTAGAGTGTTAACAACCTAAATGTTGACGACAGAGGACGCACGACGTCGGACGCCGGACATAGCCCAATCACGTTACCTCACTTTGACCACTTCGTGGTCATGTGAGCTAAAACGTACGTCATTTTATCAAATTCAAGGTCAACTGATATTTAAATTTAATTTCACATCGTCAACAGTGAACATGATCAAAATATCATTGCTGTACATCAAAGAACAAGAAAGTAGAATACTTCATATAAAATCTAGGTCAGTTGGTATCAAAGTTCAAGTTTACATCTGAAGCTGTGCACATGGTCCAAACTTCATAGCTGTACATTAAAGGTCAACAAATAAGGACTTCATCAAAATCTATGTAAGCTGATGTCAAAGTTCGATTTTACATTGGAAACAATGTGAGAATTTGATTAATTTGACCTTAATGATCAATGTCAAATAGGGGTCAAGGTCAAATCTAAATTATTCAATATTTGTGTTTGATTGCAAGTCTTGTTTTGTCCAATTATAAATCAATTAGAACAGACATAACATGACAATTAAACAGAATTCAATAATTTGACCTAGATAGCCAATGCTACTTAAAGTTCAAGCTCAACGACATTAAAACCATTATGTTGGTCTTGTCCTAAACGTTGTTAAGTCCAAGTAAGAATATAATCAATACATTGATTACAAAGTTACTTTCAATTAAAGCAAAATCACTGAAAATTCAATAACTTAACCTTCCAAGTCAGGTAATAAATTTTACAAGGTCAATTCTTGATTAATATGCACGAAGGTTATATATAAAAATGTTGAATCTAAATACAAAGTCAATTCATTCACTTATTATTAGTTGTGCCAAGTAACAGCAAGTATAGTTCAATAATTTGACCTTTAATATCAGGGTCATTTATGAGTAAAGTATAATGATTTTCCATAAACAAATGACAAAAGTAAAGAGAATTTTAAATCATTTGACGGACAAGGTCAATTAGATGTCAAGGTCATATTAAATTATTCCTAAAGTATGTTTGATCACAAATGCCGTTTGTCCACTTATAAATAAATCTGTACATCAATAAAAAAAATCATGAAAACTTCACCAAAACTCAATAACTTTACCTTGACTGTCAAGGTCATTTAAAACCCAAGGTCAATGTCAGTTCAACCTTTAAGAAGGTCTTGTCCAAGAGATTGTTTTGTTCAATTATGAAAATGATCCATTGATTAATTAAAAAGTGACAGCCAATTTTAGCGATATTTAGTGAAATTTAAATAAGTTGACCATCAAAGTCAAGACAATACTTGAGTCAAGGTCAGTTTGAGTTCGATACACATAGAGGCCTGACCTGAAAGATGTTGTCTCTTAATATGAAATTAAGCCATTTATAAACAACTAAAATAGAGAAAAACAGAATCCCTAATAGTAATGTCGTGCTGAACGATCTTCAAGGATCGAAAATATAACATCATTGATTAATACGGGGAGACATTTTACAGCCGCCACTCGGCACAAATAACACGGATGTGACAATAAAATAGAGAAAAACAGAATCCCTACAGAAAGTCCAACACAACAAGATTGAAAATGTTGCAGACTCGGTTTGATTGAGCCTGCTCATGGACGGTACTGGAAAGTGCAAGTAACCGTCCACGCCCCCTAGCACCGGCTAAAGCAGAATTCAACATTTAACACGAAAATGGTGAAATTTTGAATTAAGAAACATCCGTAGATGTGTTCATACGGCGGTTATCATGGAACCTTCAATGTGACACAGGAGTGCAATCCCATTAAAAGCGGTGTATGGTTACCAAGTAAAGGAATGTTTTTGCCCTAAACAAGAAAACAATGGGCGGAACTAAATAAAATGGAACTTTGAAAGGGAATTTGAGGTTATGAAGCCTTTATATCACAGATAAGACGTCAAAAGACAAATTTAAAAAGCAGGCAACATATCCGAAAGGTGATTATACAGTATTCAAGTAGTAACAATGGAACCACCCAAGTTGAAAATGACTGAAAAGAAGAAACGTACCACATAACATGTATACACAACAATATTGTCGTGCTGAACGATCTTCAAGGATCGAAAATATAACATCATTGATTAAATGTACGGGGACACCCTTTACAGTCGCAACACGGGACAAATAACATGGATGTGACAATAAATGGAGAAAAACAAAATTCCTAAAGAAAGTCCAACACAACAAAATTGAAAATGTTGCAGGCTCGGTTTGATTGAGCCTGTTCATGGACGGTACTGGATCTGAGGTTATGAAGCCTGCATATCACAGATAAGACGTCAAAAGACAGATTTAAAAAGCAAGCAACATATCCGAAGGGTATACAGTATAAACTTTTATCAGGTGGAGAAAAAACAAGATAATTTAATCAATTAAGGTAAATTTAAGGTCAATGTCACTTTTAAATAATTCAGTATGTTTGTTTGCAAGATTTGTTTTGTCCATGTATAAGTCAAATCCGTAAATAAATAACAAATTTTGAAAATTTAACCGAAATTTGACCTCTAAGGTCAAGGTCATTTTAATCTCAAGGTCAAGGTGATTTCAGGTTTTCAGAAGGTCTTGTCCAAAATGTTGTTTTGTCAAAGTATGAAGCTAATCCATTGATTAATAAATAACCAATTTACAGTCAATTAAAGTCAAAATAAGTGAAAATTCGATTATTTTACCTCCAATGTCAATGTCATTATATTTGAACGAAGGTCAAATTGAGTTTGATATACATGAGTGTCGTATACTTAAGAATTTTGTATAATAATATAAAATCAATCTATTCATTAAAAACAAAGTGAGTTATTGCAAAAAAAATATGAAAGTTTCAATAATTTGATCTTCAAGGTCAAGGCCATTTATGAGTAAAGATCAAGGTCTGTCTAGTTAACTTGAAGATCTATGCCAAAAGATAATTAAATTCTAAGGCAATCCATTCTTAAATAAAATTACAGCCACTGATAACAAAATTCAGCGAAATACAAACAAAATTAGGAAATTTGTCAATGAAGGTCAATGTCATTTATGAATAATGGTAAAAGTTAGTATGATCTACTCGGAAGTTTTGTCCAAAGAGTTGTTTCGGTCCAATATGGAGACAATACACCAAGGATAACATTTGCGGATTGCAACGGAACGCCGACATGACTTTACCAGTACCTCTACTTTGTACATGTATTACAAAAAGTCGAGCTAAAAATCAAGCAAAATTCAGACATTTGACCTTGAATGTCAAGTTCATTTATAAACAAAGGTCAAATTTAGTATGTTGGTCATAAAGTTCTTGTCCTACTGGTTATTGTGTCCAAGTAGGAAGACAATACACCAAGAAAAAAAAAATCAATGTTAAAGTTTGTGGACGGTTACAGCAATGCCAGATATGTAAGCTCTTGTCATAAGAGTTTCTATGAAGAAATTTTGGTAAGACAGTTTTTCTCTTCAAATCTATGGAAACTAAGAGACCCCGGGATGGTGACTTTTTTTTAACAAAGGGGTATAACGTTTTATTGAAATTATCACTGAAGTGCTGAAGATTGATACTGCTTAAGCCAGTGTTAGGGGGTGTATTAGATGTCTCACTTTTAGATTATCTCTCATGAACAAACTCAATCAAACCGATTCTGCAATTTTCATATCATAATAGTTGTTCAAAGCTTCGAAGGGTCACATCTTTTATGTATTTTCTTATATAAGTCTTTATAAAATAATTGATCCAAGTGGCTTGGCATATTTTGACTGGAGTGACATAATCTATGTTACTCATGTCGACGAACACAAGGTGGTACCACATTGCAAATATGTACTAAGCCTTCGGCGTTGTAGTTACTGAGAAGTTGATTTTTATTATTTTTTTTATTTTTATTTTGAAGTTTATTTTTATTTCGTCTAATGTAACCATGACCATTGTTAGAATTTCACTTGATTGGCATTAATTTTATTTACATTTTCATGTCATTCAGGAACATATTGGGGCTGGGAGTGAGGTTCGGCGCGCCTAAAACCCGTTTAAACTCCCCAGTGGTTTAACTACCACTAACCGTTCCAAGGCGGTACCCCACTGTGTTCATTCACGTGTTTTTCATGTCTGTGTTGTTGCTTGTGTTTGAATGTTTACATGTTTTGTGTTGTCTGCCTTGTTGGATTGTCGCTTACGGTAGGTATTTTCTCACTCCCCCTCCCATTTTTTAACCCCGTCCTTGTTGATCTTTATTCTTGTCTTTTTTATTAAAGATTTGATATTAAAAGTCTTTTAGCTCCATTGTCCTACTTTTCCATATAGGAACCATTTACAGAACTTATAAAGAAGACCATCTAAGGATTACTCATGTGATTAGTTTGGTCCAAATCCACCAAGTGGTTAAGGATATGTTGTTTTTTAAAGGCTTTGTGGATAATCATGAACTGAAGAAACAGTCAGTTTGCTATCATGATACTTTTCCTCTGAGCACTTTGTGATAATATAAGTATTGAAGTCTATACATAATTTTAAATACCTTATAATTTGTCCATTCATTGTTGTAAAGATTCAAATAAAGGATCACTTAACAAATTAATGTTAGAAAAGGTCTCTAGAAATGCTGATGTATCTTTTTATTTCAGGTTTTCATCGGATCTTATCATGTTATCAGTTACACAGGAGTACCTATCAAAATGTGTAAGCCAGGTCCTAGATGAACTTGGGTTCAGCCACCAAGGAATTAAAGAAAGAATAAGATTCGATAAAAAAATCTCCAGGGCATCAGATACCGTAGCTAAATTTCTCTATGAAAATGAAATGATTGAAGAAATAATTGCAGGTAGTGTAAGTGAAGGTATTGGATTGCAATATTGTAATGATTTAGATATTGTGCATATAAATCATGCTGTTATTTGCAGTGACAATACAGTTCCAGGAAATGATAAACTGAGTTTCAAAATAGATTTGAATAGAGCACCAGCAGGATACACATTTCTGGAACTGGTGAATAAAGGTCGCGAGTCAGCAACTTATGAAAGCTTTGAGTATGCTGTTGTTGAAAAGGAGAGAGGGAGGTATTATCTTTCAAGTAAGCTTTACATGTCGAAAAAAGATGATTTCCTGATAAAAAATAGTTTTCTGGACAAAATAACACGGTTCAAAAAACAACATGGCCCATCCATTCCAAGAAAATTTGATCATTTCTTTGTTGAGGAGGATTTACTTTCCCATTATAATCTTACTGACAAGGGAATTGACTTTGTCAGATCTTTGCCATGCAAATTAGATAATAAAATTTTGAATGCATGGAAGAGCAGGGACAGAAAATGTGGTTGGCCAGGTCAAGAGACTATAGACCATGTAATGTCCCTGCCAGTTCATGTAGTTCCAGTAGGCCAAAAAGGCAGCGTTAATGAAGATCTTCAGTGGAGATTATCTTTTACAATGTCTGAAAAAAAATTAGTCCAAGCCTTTAATAACACACAAACAAAGGTTCTTGTGCTAATGAAGTTGATAGCTAAATTTTGAAACCATTATGCACAGGTATATCTTCATATGTAGTTAAAACACTTATGCTATGGCTAGCTGAATTCATCCCCCAAAAAGAATTTTGTAAGGAGAACCTACTCTTAAGATTGATGGATGCACTTGCAATCCTAAAAATTGCAATAGAAGATGAAGACCTCCCAGGTTACATGCTCCCACAAAAGAACCTGCTGGAGAATAAAGTCACTAAAGAGGAACAACAGTTACTTCTTAGAAAGCTGACAGTTCTAAAAGCCATTGGAATAATATATGTTGATGAATTTATTAATGGTTGGTGCCCATATGAATTTTACAGACAAATAGAAAAAATTAGCCTCACATTCTATTATGCGAATCGGATGAATGTTTTGTCCATTTTAGCTTTTTCCTGTAACACACCAGAAGATCTTGCAGGATGGTGCACTAAAATACATGCATGCAAGTCTTTGAATTATATAAACAGATACACACAGGCTTTCGTTTTGTCTTCGTTTTACTTAAAATATGGTAAAAAGGACCGTTTGTTTCAGAAACTGAAAACAAAGAAAGGCAAAAGAAAAAAGCTACAGATGCTGTAGGGCATTCAGAATAACATCACAGTCATATACAAGTATAATAATTGTGCCACCTGTTTTATCATTTTACACCTGATGATTATTTTTTGTACAGTTCCTCAACGAAATTTCGAAGTAAACGGTTAAAGGTTAAGTGATCGCTGGCCTTAGAAGACATGTTGTAAAAGTGGGAATATTTTGAAGTGATTTTAGAAAATAAATAACAGAATACACATTGTACGTTTTTGAAACTTGAAAATTTAGACTTTATAAAGAACAATAGGATTATATTGATAATCGGTTTGGAAAATTGTTGGTAAACTTGAAAAGTGACTAGTTTATCTGAAACGGTGCATATGTACATGTTATCACGGGATAATGTACTAATTGATTGTACTTGTACGGAAAGGGAAGTGACCACGTGGTAAACAGGAAATGAACTTTCCGGTTTGTAAGAACTAGCATTTGTGCCATTAACACGAGGAGGTAAGAAAATTATTGGCGTCCGCGCCGAAGCGCGGCGCCTCTTATGGAATGAAATCAGATTTTGTGAAAGGACGACAGCAACTTCTTGAGCCATTTAGTCGGTCATAATAAAAGCCGATCATTCCGATAGGTATAAGGGTGCTTGATTATTAATTAAAAATGAAATGTCGCGATATGTACAATGAATAGCGAACTGGAGAATTTCTCAACAAACATTTTCAAATGAAATAACCTTTTCCATCAATAAATCGCGCTCTTCGGGGTATTTTGTAGTACACAGTGGGTTATTATGGTATGTTATTGATGTACATGTATCCGAATGATGAATTGATGACCTAAATATTCCGAAAATCTATTTATAGAGGGATGTACTCCAACTGGCAATTCCCGGTCTCTCCTGGTCTATTTTGACCGGGATTTACTAGTGACCGGCGAGTAGTACCACACGTGTATTGTCCGGTCTCTCCCGGTTTTGGAGTAGATGTTTGATATCGTTACAGAACAGAACAATCATTTTACAGATAAATAAGTTTTTTTTTTCAAAATGAATGTTTGTCACTTAGTTTGGTTACAATAATTAATAAACACAGATCAACACTCAAATTTATTGATTATTATTATACATAAATATACAATTCGAAAAAAAACCCCAACAACAACAATAGCATGTTTTATTTTATCTATATGAGATAAAATAAAATAAATATGTACAATAATTGAGAAAAAGGGTACATTAGTATGGTATTAATATGACACTATCAACTTTGGAACATTGTATTTAATTTGTTATTCGTGTTAAGTAAAGATGCCGAGGAATTATTCAAAGTTACAAATTAGATTTATGAAATATTCAATTGATTAAGAGGGGGTCTTCGCTAATAGCAATAACATAATAAGGGACAATTACACAAGTGTGGTGTTGATCATGCGTTACACATATGGATTATAAATGATTGTACACATGTATATCCGTTGCTATTAAAAACCACGATCATAAAGAAATAACAAGTAATATTCTAATCTCTAGCATACCAATTAAAGTTAATAATGAACAATGTCTTAATTTCGTCCGTTCATTCATAAGTGATATACGAGTCTGTTAAAAGCCAATTAACCATTGAAAAGTTTATAAGAATATCTCGTCATCATAATCATATCTACTAGTTCAACTTCACCTGCTGCATTTCTTGCTTGGACTCCCTTTGATGCTTTGCATCAATGCTTTTCTTGTAGAATTATTGAATGAGGATGATTAATATGTGCTGATAGTGCTTAAAACTTGACAGTGCGGAAACGTTTTTTATCAGGAACAGATGATGAACTGGTTCAAGTACGAAGAAGAAAATTATGTTGGGTAACAATGATGATATAAATTCATCACCAGACATTGTTGACAAAGGTACTCAAGTTGATAATAATGAAGTGAAAGAACACGACCCCCAAGCTCGTCGAGACATTTTAAACCAGAAAACAAAGTAGTCAAGGAAATAAATCACCAAATGTTCAAGATGAAATTGTGTTACTTGTGCTGAAGTCCACAATGGTCAAATTAGAAACATTCAAATCATGTATTAGCCAATTTAGTTAGAATCCCCACTTCACAACTTCTTAAAATAAGTAAGATAATAAGGTCAAGGAACAAACTACAAACTTTTTATTATTCTAATTCAGTTGGTAGTACAAGATGTAAAAACAGGTGTTTCAGAACAAAACAAATTTTTAATCATCTTGAATGTATTGAACTGAGGAATATTGCAACATCATTCCACCGCGCTGCCACAGATCCGATTTTGCTAAGTTCAGATGCAAAACTAATTATAGAGACAGGCAGATTCGAACGCCTACCAGTAAATGAAAGATTTTGTCCCTTTAAATGACAAGGTAGAAAGTGAATTCACGCTGTAATGGAAGATATTCGTGTAAATTAATTTGAAAACTTGAGCGTCAAAAACCACCATTTCACACAATGACAACGAAGGAGAAGTTTATTTTCATATTTTTAAATGCGAGTTGCGTACGATATACTGCCAAAACCTGCTTTGACATACTTAAGAAAAGAGTAACTTTCCTTTACAAATGAGAATACAATAATTGCTCCTTTATATCGTTTTTTATATATATATTATCTTCCTTAAAAATATGTACAATATGTATAAGTAATAACAGAAAAATGTTATACTAGAATGTTGGTTTTAAGATAACTGTTTCATTTACACTAAGACTTAGGTTTCTTGCACATATCACACATGGTTACTTACTTTTTCAAACAGTGAATATTATTTTATATTTTCATAGTCTTAGATAAATTTAATTGGAAAATATAAACTTTTAAAGTGAAAACAGTCAAGCATTTTTATGACAGGCTATGGTTTTATAAATGTCATTAATTGACTTTTAATTCTAAGTATAAACGATCATAAACATTATATATTGGTCAAATATATGTTGCATCTGTATAAGACATACATTGCCTAAACCAATGTATTGTATTGATAAAACAGACTTTCATGTAAACTTATTGATGAAAACAAATCGATGTAAGTCCTTGATATACTTAAGTTGATGACATTTTTAGAAATGAAAGTATAAAGTATAACAAATGAAATACTTTCCAATGTTAAATGATATCTATTCATAATGTCAACATTTAAACATTTAAGTATAGTTTTTTTTCATTGTGTCCCATTTTATACCAAAATTTTAACTTCACTAAGAAAAACAGACAATAATGTGTATATATTGATGTTATGTCTTTAAAGTATAACATAACCTTTCATTGAATAACAATAATAACATTAAGTTTGTGTAGCTAGGGGGACAATTCCTCAGTGCATAAAGCAGAAAAATGCTGTGATATTGTGTGTGGAATTGTCTCCCTAAGAAACAAAAGTAAATTTCCTCTGTTTAGAATAACTTTTCATGTAATTTATGTTTGTCTTGTGTATTTTGTATTTATTTATGTATATTTGTAAAGATGAGACATAAAACAAATAAATAAATGAATAATTTAATCTCCAATGATAACAGCTACTCATCAACAAAGGTTATTCAAAACAAAAGTATGTGTCATCACCAAAAACGTTTTTTTCCCCAAGCAATTCTTCCCCAATATGTAGAATAAAGAGTTATATGTTCTTGCATATATCAGACTGGATTTTCTACAGTTTACCAAAGTGCTAAGAAAAGTGTCTTACACAGATGTGACACATAAAATTTCGACATATATTTACGTTTTTATAAAGAATAAATAGGGGGAACTCGGCACACCAGTTTTATTTCGACACATAGAGAAAATCCGCTTTTCTTTCGATGTACGACTCATAAAAGTTCTACTGTATAAGTTTTCATAATTTCTTTCCGAAATATGATAATATCTAGGAGAGCTTTGTTAACGCCGGAAACAACTATCCTCGAGTTTGATATTCCGGTCTGTATCGGTAGCCGATGAAAGCCAAACATAGCATCCCTTTTACATTTGCACAGGAATCAATCGATCGCCATCTGTGATATGTTAGAAAATATTTGCATATTTGTCACTAGCTAACATGCATGTGACATATATTTCATTGATTTAAAAGCAATTAAAACATTTTATTTCATCACTTGAACTCTGCATATAACTCATAATACAGTTATTAAATGTTTAAAAGACCAATGTGAAAATAAAAAGGATGTTTTTTTGACGCCACATAGTTAGAGAACATCATACTGAGTGTTATGATTCTCAATTTAGTTAAGCATGAAACAGAAATTGATAAAAAAAATCGAGACAAGAGTCACAGAACACTTAACAACAGGACATGAGACATATATTGTCGCTCAATACTGTAGAAAACAATAAAAACAAGACTTAACCATCCCACTAAAAACAAAAATGAATACTGCGATGGAATCGAGATGATACACTGATCGAGTAAGTGATTCATTTAAAATTACGCATTTATATAATAAAGATGACACATTTGCATTTTAAATGTCAAAGCATCTTAATGTAAGTCTTGGCACAATTGTCAAGGTAAACAACAATAAGCGCCATTTTAATCTCCTATGCAAAATGTGAGAGCATACTAAGATGAGGTCCACCACCTCTTCAATATGGGACCCAAAAATAGAGGACGTTATTGCTTGCATTCCCAAAATTTGTAGTGGATATTGGAACAACTAGTGATATTGCTCCTACACAGTTTAAGTGTCCGTCAAAGTTAAAGCCAACCTCACGCTGCAATAACAGAAACAAAATGTTGCCTTAATGATATCTTTGAAAGGGCTGATAATTTAAATCTTAGGAACTTTATTTTACTCTTTAAAAATATTTTTATTGTCCAACAAAGGTGGTTATTGGCTTTTGAATATCAATAGTTATTTTACTGCATTATGTGCAATGTGCAAAACTTTATCATTTGATTCGCATGTAGTATATCAGTTCATTAGATAGTAAAAATAAACTGAAATTTTCCCAATATCAAAATTAGAATTATTGTAAGTGTCACCTGTTTTGTTTTTCTATAATTTATACAGGCAGGATTAACAGGTCATATTGAATATTTCACTAAGATTTCTATTACATCATAATATTTGAAGTAAGTTGATTTTATCTATGTCTTCTTGTTTTGTTAGTTTGCTGTTGTATTTGTTTAAGTGTTTGACTTTTTTAATTATTTGTCAAACATAAATATTTTTATTGCCATGATTCTAATGCATTATATCAAATTGCCCTTCTCTGATCATATATTAACTAATAAAGCAATTTCAACATAATTTCAGACTTAAAATATGATCCCAGTATAAAGCCAGGTCAGTATGCACTAAATGCGGCTCTTAAATGTCTTTGAGTCTTTCTATTGGCTTGCTGGCTTTAATTTTTCACCTCACCTGAATTTGATAACGGACAGTTCCAAAAATGGAGGCCTTACATTAAATTCAACTAGGATTGACATGGTTAACGAAACTCATAACAATTTAAATAGCTGCCTGATAACCAAGCTAACATTTAAACAACAATACAAATTGAATTCTTAATTGATGTTTTTTAAAGTGATATGACATTTTGTTTGTAATTTTCTGTCACTCGGCCCTTTCCGTCAAACTTCGGATAAGGACGTCAACCAAATAGCATGAAAATTCAGAAAGGTTACGGTATTCTAATCTAACTTACGCTTAGTAACTAATCATTAAATCAAAGAGAAATCAAATGATTATGTTTATTTCAATATATCGAGTAAATGTCCACCTAAAAAGGTAAATTTGTAGATATAAATGTAAACAGGTACATTTAAATATCCTTATTATGGTGGTAGAAACCGAAAAGTACAACACATCTCACGGTCGAGATTTATTAGGATTTGTTTAATATTGTTCATTACTGGGCATTTTGAAATTTATTATGATTGCCAGACATATGTTTAATCATATTTAATCCCCAAAAGACTTCATTTTCCTTTGGATTTCTAACATATACACATATTACCTATTTTCAAATTCTACGTTTATCAATAATCAAAACTATAGCCAAAAGAAGTGCCTTTATGAAATACCACCACCATATACAAATAAATTAATTCAATTCAAAAATACTAGTTATGTTTCATAATGAGTAGATAATTACATGTATACCATTAATCAAAACAGTCACACACGTGCAGAAATGGGACCGCCACCCTTATGACATCTGAAAGGTTGAAAGTTACAAAGTGTTTAGGAGACTGATCCAGGTCTTGACATGCCCTAGCTGTAAATCTGTGCTTGTATTTAGGAAATCTATTTAATGTTGATGTTGCTGGTTTGCTATCCCCTCTTTTTTAGCACATTTTGTTTGAAATGCTGTATAATAATTCCTTTTACACTTTGTATTTTTGATATGGTACTTTATCCTTTCTAAATTTGCTTGTGTGTTTAATTAAACTCCTCTTTGCCATGCATAACATGTGTATGTTATCATCTATGTCATTTATCCAACATTTTATTATGCAATTTTTACTTTATGTGAACCTTTTTAAGCTAATTCTATTCGTTTAATGACTTTTTAGTTAAGTATATACCCTGGATGTTAACTCGTACTAAATTATTCACTATTGTGAATGTATTATACTATAATAATGAAACTGTCAGCTCCTACGTACTATGCTATAGTGTCAGAATAATCATACAGTTTCACTGTAGATAGTTTATTTCTACAACGAGTCAGCGGTAAACTGAAGTTTATACAGTTTCATTTATAAACCTGTTGCTGGGAATATCAAATATATCTAAATGTAAAGGTCAAATTGTTTAAGCTCGCAAATTTATATATGCGGGTTTTGAGAGATATTTTACATCAGTTAGTTTAGGAGAGACACGCTGATAGTGTGTAGCGTGTATTTTTTTGAATGTGTTGTTGTTGGTTTGTTGAAGTTGGTTGAATATAATTGTGGTGATCCTAATTGATCAGGGTTTATTGGTTGTAATTAGTTGTTTTGGTTGTTGAGCTATATCTGTTTGTGAAGATATAATTGGTTGATATTGGTTGAATGTTTGTCTGGTCAAGATTATATTAGTTGATGACTTGTTTTGACGATATTTGTAAATATTGGGTGCTTTAGTTTAAGTTGTTTTCTGATGCTGATTAGATTGTGTGGAATTAATATTGTTGGATGAATGTTTGTGGTTTAAACTGTATCTTAAAGTTGTAAAAATAGTCATTTCTGCGTTCTTCATTTTGTGGTGATTTTATTGTTTTGTTTGATCATAAGTTGTTTAAAGCTTGGGCTCGCCAGGTGTCTACTATTGTTTCGTATAAAAGACGTATACGTGAAAAGATATTTCGTATAAGTGGCTGATAGATGACGTGTGTTTGTTTTGGGTGTAAATAATGATCAAAATTCTTTGTTTTGGGTGTAAATAATAATCAGCGTTTGTTGTTTAAATGTATATATTGATTTGAGATAGAAACAGATAAAAATACCTTAAAAAAAGTGTTAACTAAACAATTACATGCTAGTTTTCCAACTGAGAATATTTCACTTTCATGTCAGGCGGTGCTGCCCAGCCCCCATATCTTGGAAATTGCTTCTAGTTTTTATTAGTTTTTATTACTGAATCTTTCCTCAGATAAAATAACATCAAGGCAGACATTTCTCCTGACATATAGTATTTTATTACATTTAAGCTGTTAGTCCCCTATATTCTGTACATGCCACAATATCTTGTTTAAATTGTCATGTTGTTGCAAATATTTCTCTTTAATTGCACTGCTTTTATTAATGCCTAAGCCTCTGGCATTAAATGGATTTTACTTTTTAGATTTGTTATATGTTAGTTTATATGTTTATTGATTGGTAAATAGCTATTGTTAGTAAATTGCTTATTAGCTAAAGTTTTGTATTATTTGTAAACTTACTTAAAATAAAGCTTCTTGTATCTTGTATCAAAGATTACACTGTTTGTATTTGTTTTAAATTTAAGATTTGAAGAAAATGCAAACAAAAAATGTTTTGCAACAAAATCAAAAATTTAAGATAGGTCCGAAGTGTGAAGCTGATGTATGTCTTTTCATTTAATCATAATTATGTGTAGCAAAATAAATTGTGTCATTCTGCAGTTAATCATGCGTCGTATTCAAATATATATAAGACTTAAATGGAGTAACTATTTTCCGCTAAGGCCGCATACCATACCTTGTTAAAGATAAACAAGGACATGTTTCAATATAAATCTTGCTTTTAGTAGTTTTCACTCTGGTTCTCGACAGGGAGCTACATTGAATTTACCAGAGCTCAGTTCAGCAACCGCATCGTTCGTGGACACGCTGCCATATATTTTACCAGTAATAGTTGCTTTCACTTTGGCAAGAAACTCATAACTTCTGTGCATGCCAGAGCAGAGGTACAGTGCAAATGGCCATAGAAGATATTTCATGATCAATCACAACAAAAGCTACCTGCTCCATCAGGTAATCCAACGCTTGACATATTGAGCTAAACTTACGACCAATATAAAATTATCTTGGTTGTTATGGTCAAATGCCATCCTCTGCTACTAGTTTTTGAAATCTTTTAGCAGGTTTTAGCTTTAACCCGACCCTACCCGTTTGAACATGGTATTCCTCTTTCAGAAACTATAAATAAATTGTGCTTAACTTGATGAAAAGTAAATTGTATTGTGTAAATTATATAATAAGTATTTTTAAATACATATATAGGATATTATACATACATTTTTAGGATAATGAGGTCTATTTTTTCATATGTTTTATTTTATCATTTCGGTTTTCAAACATTTTGTAATGTCCCAATAACTGAACCCATAAATATAATTACTTATTTTAAAACTTAACTTGGAATGCTTTCATTTTTACGTAACTTTATGTTTCAGGTTTGGACAGGAGAACTAATGATGACATCAGCGGAAGATCTGTCCAAATGGATGAGTGAGTACATGGACATGTTAGGCTTTGGTCAACAAAGAATTAAAGAAAGAATTGGATTCTATAGAAAATTTTCAAGAGCTATAGATATTGCTGCTAAATATATCCACACAAATGATAATATTGAGGAAGTAATAGGAGGCAGTATAACTGAAGGTACCGGAATGCAATATTGCAATGATGTGGACATTTTGCATGTAAACCATGCTGTCATTTGCTGTGGCAGTAGTACAGAGAATGACAAAGTGATATTCAAAATGGAGCAAAAAAGAGCTCCTGAAGGCTACACATACCTTAAATTAATGAGGAAAGGTACTGATTCTAAAACATATGAAAGCTTAAAATATGCAGTAGTAGAAAGGAAAAGAGCGGAATATCTTTCAAGTAAGCTCTTTATGACAAAAAATGACAATTTTCTACGACTAATTAAAGGTACTTTTCTTTACAAAATTACACATTATATGAAACCTTATGGCCCCTCAATTCCCTCATATATGGAGCAGTTTGATGAGGAGGGCTTGCCTTCCTCTATGAATCTCATTGACAAGGGGATGGATTTTGTCAGAGGATTCCCGTGCCATGCTGATAAAGAATTGGAGGCATGGAAGAAAAGGAACAGAAACTGTGGATGGCCATCTCAGGAAACTATAGGCAAAGTAATGTCTCTTCCAGTGCAAGTTGTTCCAGTGGGCAAGGTAGGCAGCACAGACGAGGATCTGCAGTGGAGAATCTCTTTCACTATGGCAGAGGTTCTTTTAATACAGTCATTTAATAACACTCAGACAAAGGTGTTTGTGCTGATGAAACTTGCAGCAAAACACATTTTTCAACCTATGTGCAGCAACATCTCCTCCTATATAGTAAAGACAGTTATGTTATGGCAAGCTGAAAATATTTCCCAGAATGAATATTGTGAGGAGAAGTTGATTTCAAGAATGATGGATGCATTTGCCTTCCTTAACCCATTGCTTCATGAGCATTTTGTGAAAAATGGCTGTTTTCATTGAAAAGTCTCCCGTTACAAGTTCAAATTGCTATAATACTATAAAAACTGCTTCAACACTAATCAAACTTGGCACAAATGTTCACTGGACAATTGCCCTTGCAACAACATGCTCGGGCTGAAATTTTCTGTTACCATGGCAACGAGGGGACATCTCAAAATTGCCAAAAATCACTATTTTGCGTTGATTTTTCCATCAAAATTGATTTCAAAGTGCTGCAACTTCTCAATGGATTGAGATAGAGTCAAATGTTTTTCAGCGTTGGTTACACGTTACCTTATGATCAATCTGGGGTCATTTACAGCCTCTCACAAGTCCAAAATTTTCTTGGCGATGAGGGGGACTCCGCCCCCCTTCAAACCCCCCCAAACAGAAGGGGGCACATCCCCCTTCTGGCAACCCCCTGATGTATCTTTTGGTTGGGGGGCCGCGCCGAAAAAGAGGTCACTTTTTTTAACAACATTTCTCAAACAAAAACAAGTGTTTGGGGCCTAAATAAGGCATTTTTTCATCATTTGAGACAACAAAAAGGGGGGGGGTGAAAAAGGCGTTAAAAGGCGTGTATATGAAGTAATGGGTTAACAGAAAATGATGAAAATACTTGAAATTACCCTTAATCGCGTTTTTTCATGTTTAAACATGGTCTGTCATATAAATTTGAAGAAAAATTGTTGTTTTGTAGATTTTTTTATTTTATTCATTAACAGAAAATGATGAAAATACTTGAAATTACCCTTAATCGCGTTTTTTCATGTTTAAACATGGTCTGTCATATAAATTTGAAGAAAAATTGTTGTTTTGTAGATTTTTTTATTTTATTCATTAACCCATTGCTTCATGAGCATTTTGTGAAAAATGGCTGTTTTCATTGAAAAGTCTCCCGTTACAAGTTCAAATTGCTATAATACTATAAAAACTGCTTCAACACTAATCAAACTTGGCACAAATGTTGACTGGACCATTGCCCTTGCAACAACATGCTCAGGCTTAAATTTTCTGTTACCATGGCAACGAGGGGACATCTCAAAATTGCCAAAAATCACTATTTTGCGTTGATTTTTTCCATCAAAATTGATTTCAAAGTGCTGCAACTTCTCAATGGATTGAGATAGAGTCAAATGTTTTTCAGCGTTGGTTACACGTTACCTTATGATCAATCTGGGGTCATTTACAGCCTCTCACAAGTCCAAAATTTTCTTGGCGATGAGGGGGACTCCGCCCCCCTTCAAACCCCCCCCCCCCAAACAGAAGGGGGCACATCCCCTTCTGGCAACCCCCTGATGTATCTTTTGGTTGGGGGGCCGCGCCGAAAAAGAGGTCACTTTTTTTAACAACATTTCTCAAACAAAAACAAGTGTTTGGGGCCTAAATAAGGCATTTTTTCATCATTTGAGACAACAAAAAGGGGGGGGGTGAAAAAGGCGTTAAAAGGCGTGTATATGAAGTAATGGGTTAACAGAAAATGATGAAAATACTTGAAATTACCCTTAATCGCGTTTTTTCATGTTTAAACATGGTCTGTCATATAAATTTGAAGAAAAATTGTTGTTTTGTAGATTTTTTTATTTTTTTCATTAACCCATTGCTTCATGAGCATTTTGTGAAAAATGGCTGTTTTCATTGAAAAGTCTCCCGTTACAAGTTCAAATTGCTATAATACTATAAAAACTGTTTCAACACTAATCAAACTTGGCAAAAATGTTGACTGGACAATTGCCCTTGCAACAACATGCTCAGGCTTAAATTTTCTGTTACCATGGCAACGAGGGGACATCTCAAAATTGCCAAAAATCACTATTTTGCGTTGATTTTTTCCATCAAAATTGATTTCAAAGTGCTGCAACTTCTCAATGGATTGAGATAGAGTCAAATGCTTTTCAGCGTTGATTACACGTTACCTTATGATCAATCTGGGGTCATTTACAGCCTCTCACAAGTCCAAAATTTTCTTGGCGATGAGGGGGACTCCGCCCCCCTTCAAACCCCCCCCCAAACAGAAGGGGGCACATCCCCCTTCTGGCAACCCCCTGATGTATCTTTTGGTTGGGGGGCCGCGCCGAAAAAGAGGTCACTTTTTTTAACAACATTTCTCAAACAAAAACAAGTGTTTGGGGCCTAAATAAGGCATTTTTTCATCATTTGAGACAACAAAAAAGGGGGGGTGAAAAAGGCGTTAAAAGGCGTGTATATGAAGTAATGGGTTAATAGAAAATGATGAAAATACTTGAAATTACCCTTAATCGCGTTTTTTCATGTTTAAACATGGTCTGTCATATAAATTTGAAGAAAAATTGTTGTTTTGTAGATTTTTTTATTTTTTTCATTAATAGAAAATGATGAAAATACTTGAAATTACCCTTAATCGCGTTTTTTCATGTTTAAACATGGTCTGTCATATAAATTTGAAGAAAAATTGTTGTTTTGTAGATTTTTTTATTTTTTTCATTAACCCATTACTTCATGAGCATTTTGTGAAAAATGGCTGTTTTCATTGAAAAGTCTCCCGTTACAAGTTCAAATTGCTATAATACTATAAAAACTGCTTCAACACTAATCAAACTTGGCACAAATGTTGACTGGACCATTGCCCTTGCAACAACATGCTCAGGCTTAAATTTTCTGTTACCATGGCAACGAGGGGACATCTCAAAATTGCCAAAAATCACTATTTTGCGTTGATTTTTTCCATCAAAATTGATTTCAAAGTGCTGCAACTTCTCAATGGATTGAGATAGAGTCAAATGTTTTTCAGCGTTGGTTACACGTTACCTTATGATCAATCTGGGGTCATTTACAGCCTCTCACAAGTCCAAAATTTTCTTGGCACATCCCCCTTCTGGCAACCCCCTGATGTATCTTTTGGTTGGGGGGCCGCGCCGAAAAAGAGGTCACTTTTTTAACAACATTTCTCAAACAAAAACAAGTGTTTGGGGCCTAAATAAGGCATTTTTTCATCATTTGAGACAACAAAAAGGGGGGGGTGAAAAAGGCGTTAAAAGGCGTGTATATGAAGTAATGGGTTAAAACAAAGGTAGAAAATAAAAAGCTACAAAGTTACATGATGCTACGCAAAAATCTGCTTGAAAATAAAATATCTCATACAGAACAACAGTTACTTCTCAGGAGGCTGACACTTCTTCAAAACAATGGACTGAAACTAGTTAATGAATTATTCAATGGTTGGTGCCCATACAGTAGAGAAATAGAGGATATAAGCCTCACAATCTACAATGCAAATCTGATAAACATATTGTTGACATTACTATTTTCCTGTAACACGTCAGAGGAACTTGCATCTTTGGGCACTAAATTGAATACATGCAAGTCATTGAGGCATTTGTACATATTGATGGCAGTTTTCATTTTCGTTTCATTTAAATTAAAATACAGCACAATGGATCTTTCTGTGCAGAAAGAAACAAACAAAGGAAATAAAAGAAAAGCAAAAACAACGAAAAACATAAGAAAAAAACTTAAGACACAACACAAAGAAGCTTTAATCACAACACCAAGCAGCTTAAGAAAGAACTACAAGAAGCTTAAGACACAAATACAAGAAGCTTAAGACACAACTACAAACAGCTTAAGACAGAACACCAAGAAACTTAAGCCACAACACCAGCCCATCACTAAGAAACTTTAGACACAGCAGCAAGAGCATTAAGACACAACACAAAGAAGCTTAGGACACAATATAAAGAGGCTTAAGTCACAATTCCAAGTTGCTTAAGACACAACATTAAGAGGCTTTAAACACAATCTTGAAAGGTTTTATTCACAACATTAAGAGGCTAAAAACAATACCCAAGAGGCTTAAGACAAAAACACCAATAGACTTACGACTTAAACACCAATAGGCTTAAGTCACAACACAATGAAACAGAAGACACATCAACAAAAAACTTTAGAAACAACATCAAGAAGCCTAAAACACAACACCAATAGTCTTAAGACACAACACTTAGAAGCTTAAGACACGCCACTATGAAGCTTGAGACACAACATTTAAAAGCGTAAAATACATTACCAAGAAACATTGGACACGACATCATAAGGGTTAAGCCACAGCACTTAGACATTTAAGACACAACATCAAGAGTCTTAAGGCACAACACAAAGAAGCTTCGAACACAACATCAATGGGCTTAAGTCACAACACCAAGGGAATTAAGACACACCATCAAGGGGTTGTAGCCTTAACAACAAGATATTAACACAACATCAAAAGTTTCAATCTTAAGTTCAATTTACAACATCAAGATGCTAAAGACACAAAAAACACAAAGAGGCTAAAAACTAAAAAGCCTTGAGGATTAAGTTCCAACACCAAAAGGCTTAAGTCACAACACGATTCACAGCTATCAGAATTATATGAAATATCTGGCATAATCCGGTCATCGAATATACCATCACCATCTCCTTTGTTAGGGCATTACAATAATGCATAATACCGAAATAAATTTCTTTAGTTTCAGAGTACATGTGTTTCCATAGTGTTAATATGGTAAACCGATGTGTTCCGATGTCTCCCAAATTATGATCATTTGAATTGATTGTATGATTAAATATCGTCTTAAATTTTAACAAAGGATAGTTCATGTAGATGAAAACAAAGTTATGGCAGCTTAATGCCATCAATAATGTAAACATTTCTTGATACAATTGTCAGAAAAACTACCATTAAAGTGTTAAGAAAATCACTATTTAGATATCCGCCTGAAAGACACATATGTCCCGCTATTAATGTTAGGACACCAAATAAGATGTAACATATTATGACAGGACAGCATTGTTGGTATTACATTAGTTTGTTTTGAAATATACACCTTTTAAAGTAAGGACGGATGAACCGTGGAAGAAGGGGTCTAGGTCTTGCACATGATAAACGATTTCATTATGCTACAAATTTGTGCCTAAAGTGTTTCAAAATCCCTTGATGCATGGCAGAGCTATGGATCGGACACTATATTCAAACGGTTGACCTTTGACTTCAAAATGTGGCCTTGATTCATATGAGCTAGGGGTCTAGGTCAAGCGCACAACAAAAAGTTTGATCATTTTGATACAAGATTGTGCAGAGCCATTTCAATCAAGTAATGGGATTTTCTTACTGTTGATCTTTGACCGCTAAGGGTGACCTTGGAGGTTGTGTCTTGGTCTTGTGCATGACACGTCATTTTATCATGTTGTACATTTATTTCAAATTTTTTGATGTATTTTCGAGTTATAGGCAAGACATTTTTACTGCTGATGTTTTACTTTCCGATTGTATAATTTAGTCAAGTTGATATTATACTTATATACTTTGGAAAGTACCTGCAATTAGGATTCCGATAGTCTAATTAAGTTTGTTTGTATAGTTTTGTTGTGCTATAAGTAACTATTAAACTGGTAATGTCATATAGAGCTCTACTTTCCACCATTTTACTAATGGAATAAGACCTTCTGGTACCCTTTTGTGCATTTTTTGGAGCAAGTTGAACCACCAACCTGTAAGCTGGCTAAATACTTCCTCACACTATATACATATGCTATGCTCTAGCAAAAAACATCCCATAACATATTGAAGTTGTGAAAGGTATAGACTAATTTTGTGCAAATAGACATAGTACAACTATGTTTGGCATTCCCGCTTGTACTATTAAACTGTTCAGTAAAGTCATACATTTTTCTACATGTAGCTTGTTATAATTGAATCTCGCTTACTATTTGGTCTCGCAACATATTTTCACACACTGCTGGTAGTTAAAATGCAGACCAAAGAAAACTACGAACGGATTAAATTTTGTATACAAATGTACATACAACGTTTGCTATTATTTATATGACACGAAATACCTTTTTAATTCTTTATTTGCTGTTGTTTGAAATTTCCCTTGTTTTTCTTTCTAACATTTCTCTTAAATAGTCCATTTATTTTCCAAATAAAGAGATAATCTATATTGTCCAGCTTTCCCCTTTTAAAATCCATGTACATGTATTTTGTGAAGACAGTTTTATTCATAAAGTGACTAGAATCTACATGCTCTATAAACTCTTGAAACAGCAACTCTTGCTGTAATACACAGAAAAAAGAAATATATATAATCGTTGCTGTTTTTGCAACTCCATGTTACCCGTATCACAGCGCTGTGTATATATAATTTGACGTGACATCACTTACGTTTATAAACAATAAAAATATAGTTTGAAACATGCACTAAATATTAACTGTTCACTGGCTAAACAATGAAAATATGACACTATTTCCATAACAATTCTTAATTTCATTATTATAAAATTACACTTGTGTAGCTTAACTACATTTATTGAACTATATAATATAATTTTATTACCTTTGTTCAATACATTCGGCATATAACATTCACTCATTCAATAGCCTCAATTTCTTTTATTCCAGCATAAATATTAAACGAGTTTATTAAAGATTTATTCTTAAAATTGTATACCTCACCTTGTGAATTGAATTTTTTTGAAACCCTTACCGAAATGGTCAAGGTTCCGGTCTATTAACCTGAAGATCATGAGATTTGAGCACTACTGGGGTCACGTTTTAGAAGGGTAAATTTCAGGAAGTAGACATGTGAGAAGATCAGTTAAGCTTCTTTAAGAGAGTAATTGATTGATAATTGATTGCATTCAATGTAAAG